TATTGAAGTATGACATTTTATCCACATAAAAACTTGCTGCAATCGCAACACAAACGTTATTTAGATATTTTGACGATGTTTTACACTATTTTATTGTTAAATTTGCAATATTTTTAATTTTTTCACAAGTTTTCCACATCCGCATAAGAATTATCCACTGTCAGATGTATAAAGATTAACTATTACAGAGTCGTATAGGAAATGTCACAATTTTCAACGAACAATTGTCAAATTTTCTATTTGTTCGCAAGCGAAAGCTACGCACGAATGAATGTTCATTCACGCGTTTTTGGTAAGAGTTGCAATTGTGAACACAATTGCTGCAACAAACTTTTCATTTGACGTTCGCCGTTGTAAACAAAAATTATTCCACCCTTTTTGTAAACAAATGCGAAGCATATGATAATAATGAAAAAGTGTTTATTGCTTCATAAATAGTAGCACATACAAATATTTCGTTTGGCACTAAAAGTTGTGTAGTAGCTGAATTATTTGGAAAAATGGATCCAATTGAAAATGAGGATCCTTTTTCTATTGCGCAAAGTAAAAAGATAGACCCGGTCGACAACGAGGATCCATTTTCCACGGCACACATGCCCACAGATTCTTTTGAAGTAACCATAGAAGATATCAATCGCTTAGATGAAGATGATTCACTTGACGAAATCGATGGAGTTGAAGATGACTTGACCATATTGGAAATCGCCATGGCGAAAGCCATTGAAAATGTAAATCCTGCTATCTTCATGCATCTAATATGTCCTCGCTGTGGCGAAACATTCCATTCATCTGCCCATTGGCAGCAACACTTACATAATGTGCACTATTTTAACAATTTAAAAATGTTACCCGGCACTGTAAATGAAGGTGGTATAATTTTTTATATTAAGATTTTTTTTTATACATTTTTTATATTTTATTTTAGACGAGAAAACTTATCGCTGCCGAAAGTGTCCAACCGAGTTTAATTATCTTGAGTACCGTAAAATTCTACATCACAGCCTTACTCATATGTCTTTTAATGCTTTCTACAAATGCAGCTTATGTGAGCATTTGGAATATACCAACATGGAAATGATTAAACATATCAAAAGACATATGGAAGTACATATGCTGAAAGCAAAAATTAATGGCAAACTAGTAAGAAACAAACGATTTTCATTAAGTGAAGGCATTGATTATGAAAAATTTCTGGTTTATATGTGTCCGCAATGCCAGATAAATTTTAGAAAACACGAAACTTGGTTACAACATATTAACGACAAGCATGCGCTCTTTGCCGAAGAAAAACTCAAATTTAAAGCTATAGAAATGGACGAGTTGGTCGAAAAGAGCACGCATCTTATCACCACTTGCGAAACATGTGGCATCATGTTAACGGCCGACAACTTGGAACAGTGTCAGCGCAAGCATTATCTAACGCACCTACGAAATAGATCCTTTCGTTGTGCAATATGCAATTTGCACTTCAACTACAACAATGAGATTAAGATGCATATGTTATTAATGCACTGTAAAAATGCAACCACTTACGACGAAGCCATATTGCCCGGCAATTTGCGTCCCAGAAACGCAAAATTTGACATGAATATTAAGTTCCTTCCCGATAAAACGGCAAAATACCTACAACACATAGAATTTAGTTGTCCAATTTGTGGCGTTAAGTTTGAACATCCCGATAATTGGTGTTCACACATTAATGAGAATCATGATTTCTTCAAAGCACCTTATATGGCATTGATTATAACCAATTTTGGTGCGGCACCTAACGTAACCAGGGCCTGCAAGAAGAGGCGCCTACAACCATATTGTGTTATTTGTGATCGGGTGTTAGATGGCTGCAAAAGCTATATACATTTATGGGTTGAACAATTACGACATGCTCCGTTTAGACCATACAAGTGCAGCATTTGCATGGAACAATTTTATTCGATACGCACATTGATGAAACATTTTCGAATGTTGCATACCAATTTAGATGGCAGTGTTAGCACAACGTCAAAACAGCGTAGAATTCACACTATGGAAACATAATTACTTCTTCATCGTCGGGTAATGGAACGCTCCATCGTCATCGATCCTATTACAAATAACGTTTTTAAGCCCGAATTAAATGGATTAATTTGTTTTATATTTGGTAATACAGGTGAATGCGAATACCTTGGAATGTAGCAATAGATGTTTTGTTTACTTTCAATAAGAGATCTCGTAAAGAAATATATGACAGTTGAAAAATATTCTTTCATTCACAATAAACGAATAACATTGTTGTAATTATTTGAATAAGAAGAACTAAATAAAAAAATTCACCGAAACAACAGAATTTACTATTTAATTGATAACCAGTCTTAACCACAATTTTTTTTATATATACATATATATAGATAAATTATGTTGAGCAAAAAACAACAGCCTGCATTTCAAGGGAAGGAATGTTTCAGTCGTATGAATTTTCTCTTTCAAGCGTCCATGCTTATGGCTGGCAAGAACAACGCGTTATCTGCCTACTACGGCGAACTATGCCGAAGTATTGCAAAAAAAGCTGTGCTTAAAATGTAAGTAAATATCACAACACAAGAATCATAGTTACAATTCATTACATTTGCAGTGATCCAAACATAAAGCGGCAGTTGTGTAAACGTTGTTCTCTGGCACTAAAACCAGGCATAACCGCTGACTTGCACGCTGAGACGCGACGGAAGAGACGAAAGTCTTTGAAAAATAGTGATAATGTGGATGAAAACACAAGCATGATCTTGACATGCCATCAATGCGGTTTTAGACGTCAGTTTATAGTCAATCCAAATTACAATTTTTGGCTGGACAATGAGGAATCTGTGGTGGAGTCTATTACTCTAGGTAACAAAGAACCCGGAAGTAAACAAAAACATTCACCAGTTAGCGATAAGGAAACAAAAGAAACAGCTACAAAATAGAAATAAACATTCCACTTTGTAATTTTGCATTTAGGTGAGTTAAATTAAGTGTAAAATATACAACTTAATAGCCATAAAAGTTGTTTGCAGTATGCGTTTTAGATAACAAAATATCTACAGCTTGTGTGCTATAATCATTTATAAAATATAATAAAAGTAATACATGATTGTAAGAAGGAAGAACAATTTTAAAAATTCCAGATTATTGCATATGCATGATATATTCAGACGACATTTTTGCTTGCTAGAACTCCACGTCAGCCCTTGTACTTGATCTGTTTTCATACGTCTAATCAACAAATGCTGACTTATCAAAATGGCACTTCTTATCGATAAGGGCACAAACGCGCCCAACAAATTGTCCTCTTAATCATTCGCGAATTATCAGGCAATTAATTAAGATGTTCGCTAGGCAATTTAAAATTCATTTATTGCGCACTTTGCCGATCTCGCGCTGCTCTTCGACATATAAGCGCCTACTTAGCGCATCTTTAGCGGAGGGAAATGTAGTTGTCGTGCGGCAAGCGAATGGCGGCGAACCGTTACAATTTCCCAGCGTTTGGCTACGTGATAACTGTCAATGCAGTGTATGTTTTCATGATAACACAAAGAGCCGACAAGCCAATTGGAAGCGTGTTAATGTCGAGTCACGGATTCGAAGTATAAATGGCAGCCATGAAGATAATGCGTTAACAATAGATTGGCAGGATGATCACAAGTCCACTTTTACATTAGCTTGGCTACAAGATAGAGATTTTGCGCCAACGAATCGCAAGCGCTACATTGAAGAAGTATATAAGCCAACGTATCAGTTGTGGGCAAAATCAGAATTCAAAAACGTTTTACGCACTTTCGAGTTTACAGATGTAATGACACAAGACAAAGGTTAGTAAGATTGCAGTAAAAAACGCATACTATGTTGTATGTACATGTATAAATTTACAGTACTTTTGGAATGGCTGGAGTCCTTGGCAATACAAGGGTTTTCTATAGTCAGGAATTCACCACCAAATGTTACTGTTGTTAGGCAATTGGCTGATCGTATTGGCTACATAAAACGCACTACTTATGGGTAAGTAAATATAATATCAGAAAATAATTATAATGGTTTCTATATTGATATCGACAGTGAAGAATTCGAGGTAAAGTCCAAAGACGATGCACGTAACTACGCCTATATGATGACGCCACTGCCCCTACATACGGATATGCCATATTACGAATATAAAGCTGGCATAAATATATTACACTGCTTGGTGCAGTCGCAATCGCAGGGTGGTAGTAATCTGATGGCAGACGGGTTTTATATCGCTGAAAAACTGCGAAAAGAATTCCCGAAATTATTTGAAATATTAGTAAAGACACCAGTTGACTGGTATGACATTGGGAAAGATGGCGATATGTCGTTCCATAATATATGGCGTGCACCCACGATTTGGTAAATATATTCTTATTTTACGTTTCAAACTACCTTGAGTAACTGCCTGCTTCTGCTAGTCTGGACGTGGACGGGCGTTATCATCGCATCAATGAAAACAGCACTAAACGAGATAGTCATTTCACCGTGCCTCTGGAGCAGGTAGCACCTTGGTACGAAGCTTATGATAAATTCGTAGAATTGGCATATGCTGAAGCTGTCGATTTCAAAACTGCGCCTGGTGACGTTTTTGTATTTAACAACTTGCGTATGCTGCATGGACGTACAGCATATGAAGACTCGCCCGCTAACAAAAGGCATTTAATCGGTGCATATGTTGACTGGGATATAATTTATTCAAAAATACGTATTATTAGGTCCAAAAATGCTATTAGCTGTTAAAATAAATGATAACATGTTAATGCATGAACGTTTATGTTCTAAATTAATTTTTTTATCTTAATTTTTTTTGCATTTGTTAATTTTTATATTATTTAATTATTTTATTAATTAATTCTTTTATTAGTTAATTTTTTCTTAATTCTCTTTTTTCATTTTTTTTTAGTATTTATTTTTTTATAAATTAATTTTATTTTTTATTTTTTTTTTTATTAATTTTTTTTTTCTTAAATTATCTGCTTTTATTGAATTATTTTTCCATTAATATCATTTATTCAATCATGAGAATAATATGTTATCGATAACCACTCGCACATGGCAACCCTGATTTGTTATATCAAATACAGCTGTTCGTTGTTGACACAACTCTCACAATTATTTATACAGCTGTGGTGAACATTAGACTTTGCTTATCACTAACCCACAGTGTCCTGTAAGGTTTTATAGAATCAATCGATATTGGTTTGGAAGATCTGCCGCAGTGTTTGAGATTTATTTCTGAGCATTCCATTATTAATACGTCGACATGTCTTTACGTCAACTTGTTGATGGGGATTGTGGTGGCGTTAATCCACTCATGCAACTTGGGGGACAATTCACACGAGACGCCGCACGCAAAGATGAAGGCTTTACGAATGCTCAGTTTGAACGTAACTTAAGATCGGATGAGCATCTAGTTAACGAGTTCCTAGGACAGGTGACGGCTCCGCCACAATCTTTCCAAATGGATGCCCTACTACAAGAGATGCGTGAAATAGAACAAACAAACGCCATGGCAGTCCAACAAGCAACTCGTGGTATGGATAATATAAGCGGTGTTAGCAAAGAGTGGGCAAATGAATTTGGCATGCAACCGTCAATGACAGCAACTACACAAATGGTCCATATGCAGCCGCAGAAGCAACAGTTGGTGCATGTGCGTGAGTTTTTCGATGATGAAGGACCCGGCGTATCAAGTTCCTTTCTTGGACATACACCAGCATCGCCATTTATGCCACTACAAACAATCCCAACACCATACCTAGCCATATGCCCACCCTACGTACCAAGTACGGAGAGGTTTTTTGAAGAAGCAAAGTCACTTACTAAAGAAGATACAGAAAAATTATTACCCCAGACGTCTACTAAGGAGTATGTTGCAGATTGGATCAACGATTATGTAGCCAGTGCAAAACAACGTCAACAAGCAACTGGCAGCTATAATGAGAGTTTCTGGCAACGTCTTCAGGATGAATGGCAAAAGTTATCTGAAGAGTCTGAGCATCCTTGGTTATCTGAATATGGCGAAAATTACGATCCATATAAAGAGTATGGCTTTGCTGAAGAAAATCCATTGGCGGATGTGGAAAATGCATTGGAAAAAGGAAAAGAATACATGCGAAATGGCGACATACCTAGTGCAGTTCTTTGTTTTGAAGTGGCTGCTAAAAAGGAGCCAGAAAACGCCGATGCCTGGGAGTTGTTAGGCATGGCACAGGCAGAGAATGAAAATGACCCACAAAGTATAGCTGCCTTAAAGCGTTCTTTGGCGCTACGTCCAGATAACAATCGTGTGCTAATGGCACTTGCAGTTTGCTACACCAACGAAAGTCTACAGAGTCATGCTCTTCGCATGCTAATCAACTGGATGGAAGTAAATCCGAAATACAAACATCTACTGCAACAGCATCCAGATTTGCAAACTGATAGTGATGCCATGGCTTCCTCGTTAATCAATGGTAGCAAACTGCAAGCAGTGCAAAATCTCTTTCTCGATGCTGTACGTTTGAATCCACAAGAAGTCGACGCTGACGTGCAGGAAGCTTTAGGTGTGCTCTACAACCTATCCTCCGAGTACGACAAAGCAGTCGACTGCTTTCGTGCCGCACTACATGTTAATCCCCAGAATGCAAAAGTATGGAATCGTCTGGGTGCTAGTTTAGCCAACGGCTCACGTTCTGTAGAAGCAGTGGAAGCCTATCAGCATGCATTGCAGTTAGAACCGGGCTTCATACGTGTACGTTATAATGTTGGCGTGTGTTGCATGAACTTGAAAGCATACAAACAAGCCGTTGAACATCTGCTAACGGCTTTAAATATGCAAGCAAATACGACGGCTGCGCGCGATTTACCTGACGGCGCAGGCGCTATTGGCGGTGGTCAAACGCAAATGTCCGACTCCATTTGGAGTACATTAAAAATGATTATCTCCTTAATGGGCCGTAGTGATTTGCATGGCGCTGTAAATGCACGTGATCTCAAAGTGTTGAATGAAACCTTCATGGACGCAGTCTAATTACGCCCAGTGCTATTTCTTAACTGTAAAACTTACTATTAAGTTTGAAAATTTAAATATTGATGGTGTTGGCTTGGTTTTGCAAACTTAATCATATACAATGCAACTTTTTAATAAACATTAATCAAATAAGCTAAAATAAACGTTTTTTTTTTCAAGATTAAGCGACATACCTTACGCTACTGCTGTTGTGTATTTATGTACAGTTGGACTCAAATTCTCAGATAATATACTTGACGTACTTTGAGCAACATACAATTATTTTGTAGTTTATATAATTCTATAAATTTATTTTGTTAAACTATTTCAAAAGTTACGTTTTTTCACACTTTAGAAATATGGACTTATCCCTAACCTTTATTTTCACCACTGACTGACGCCAAAATATTTGATTTTTATTTGACACTTGACCTTCCTGTTCGATTTTTTGGCGGAAACTACTTGTCAAAGGGAAATTCGTACTTTACTTTACGTTGTTTATGCTCATATTTCGCACACTTCTTATAACACATACATATGTACATTTAATTTAACTGTACTTTTTATAAAACGTTATAACTTAAATATGCAGTTTGATTTACAGTTCACTTGTATTATCCTAAATTTTGGGAATGATGAGTACACTGAGGCATCTTGTATAGCAGTTCCGTTTAGATTTTGATTATATTTCTGGCGTGGGTCGCAACCATATCGTACCATTATAACGATATCTCAATAATTTCATTTGATAGCTAAAAGTTTCCTGATGATTATAACGAAGAGTAGTCCAGTAGTGAACGCGCCAACTGCACAGCATATATGTCTATTTTGAGTTGGAGGGGAAACAATTTTATAGGTTAGGTCTATTTTCATAAAGTAATATTCTGCACAACACGAATTAAGCGTTATTTTTTTAGCAAGATTTGTATAAATTAACAATCACATAGTTAGATATTTGAGCCTTTGAAACATATGTTTAAAAATATATAAATTTTAACATTGCATTGGGTTTTAAGCGAGTACACAACACTGTTTGCCTGGTGGAGCAACATCTTTATCAGCAATGATAGTGTTAGCGGCTTCTGGTTTTACTATATTAGCCGATGATTGTGTTGTTGTTGGTGGTAATTGTGGTGGCAATGTTGGCGTTGGTGTAGTGCTATGTTAGAATTTTTTTAGAGAAGTGGAAAACAGCATTTAAGCAAAGCAAAAGTAAAAAACAATACTAGTTATTTTAAAGACAGAAGGCTGATTTATGATACGGACGAAGGCACAAAGAGCTACTATATCTCGAGCGGTGTACCCCAAGGATCAGTGTTAGGCCCACTATTATGGAACCTTATGTACGACGGGGTGCTAAGAAGACAGCAACCAACAGACGTGAAACTAGTAGCTTATGCGGATGATCTCATGGTGGTA